TGATAATTATTTATAATTTTGTATTTCTTTCTTTATAAATTTATTACTTTTTGTACTTATTATCTCTTTGCATTGTATTATCGACAAAAATTTTGTAAAAAGTATACGTATTATAAAATTTATATTTTTGTACTGGTTCTATAAACAGGTGTCTTTACACCTCGATAGAATTCCTTACCAGATAAATAAATAAATAAATAAATAAATAAATGTATTTCGACTTGTAACTGACTTCATTTACAACTATCGTCAGAACTTTGTTGAAGAGAATTGAGTTGCACATCACTCAAGTATTATAAGTTTCTAATTAATAATATTTTGTTGTAAAATAACTAAATAAAATTAAATTATAGAGAAAAATCAACTAGCACCCAAATAAATAATAAATAATTATATAAATAGGTAACCAAGATAATGAAGGAAATGTATTGGAACAAGAGACACTGGGTGATGCAGAACGCGGTGAAAAACCAACAGGTGAAATATCTGTTGTACGAATACCCGATCGGTTGGTAATGACATCAGCATCCCCACGTCCAGATGATCTACCGATCAAGAGTCTGGTGGAGCATTTACCCGTGCCAACGCCGTCACGCGAAGCGTCGCTGACACAAAAACTGGAGATGGCCCTCGGCTCTGTCTGTCCACTGCTGCGTGAAATAATGGTCGACTTTGCGCCGTTTTTATCTAAAACCCTTGTCGGTTCACACGGCCAAGAATTACTTATGGAAGGCAAAGGGTTAACGACATTTAAAAATAGTAATTCTGTCGTCGAACTTGTCATGCTGCTCTGCTCACAGGAATGGCAAAATTCACTACAAAAACACGCCGGGCTGGCTTTCATTGAATTGATCAACGAAGGAAGGTACAAATCATTATATATTTTATTTATTTAATAAAATTAAATTATCAACTTTCAAAATATATCCTTCGATCAATTTTTCAATCATCAACCAGTATTTTAACTAATTAATTAAAATAAAACGATGAATATAAAAATTTTCTAAATGTCCAAATAATTTATATTTCATGCTAATAAAATAAATAGTAAAAAATAAAATAAAGATAATTAGCAGTATATTAAGGGAGACTTTTATTTAAATTAAATGTTAACCGTCTAAATTATTTCCAGACTATTGTCACACGCAATGAAAGATCACATTGTTCGAGTTGCCAATGAAGCTGAGTTCATTCTTAATCGTATGCGTGCTGATGACGTTCTTAAGCATGCTGATTTTGAGGTAATTATTTTATAATTATTCTTTTATATAATTATTATTGATGATCTAATTAATCAATTCTTATTTTCAGTCTCAATGCGCTCAAACTCTCTTAGACCGCAGAGAAGAAGAAAGAATGTGCGATCATTTAATAACCGCAGCACGAAGACGTGACAATGTCATTGCCAGTCGTTTACTTGAAAAAATACGTAACATACTATCGAATAAACATGGCGCGTGGGGATACATGGATCCCATGGCAGCTAAGTAAGTTAAATATTTATTCACATCCGAATTGTTATTATAATTTATTTGTTAACAATTAACAGTAAATTTATTTCTTCTTTACAAATAGACTGACGGAATTCTGGAAATTGGACGCTTGGGAAGACGATGCTCGGCGACGCAAGCGATTCGTCCACAATCCCTTGGGTTCGAGCCATCCCGAAGCGACTCTGAAAGCTGCTCTGGAACATGGTGCTCCAGAAGACGCGATTCTTCAAGCACGCGAAGAATTTCACGCTCATCTTGCGGCTTCGCGTGCTCACCAGCAGCAACTCCAGTCCGCGGATCTTATGGACGACAGTGAATTACTGTCTGACGATAGGGATCTTGACAATGATTTGACTGGTAAGTTTATTATTTGATATAATGATTTTATCGGAATACAGTCTTCAATTTTTTAAGTAATTAGTAATCTATATAATTAAAAAAGGCAAAATTTTGTTTCTGGCATATTTATAAAGTAAAATGTTTTTTTTTTTTTTTTAGTAGATTTCATAGAAATTTAACTATTGCAATGATCCTCATGACAAAATTTTTGAAAAATTTTGCTATATTCCGACATAACTCGACAAGCTGAGTCAGAAAATACATATGGTTCAAAAGTTTATATATGTATGTATGTATGTATATATATATATATATATATATATATATATATATATATA